CTAAGCAGTTTTACCGAGTCAGCATATTGCCCCCAATATGGGTCCTCATTATCAACCTCGTAAGAGTCAACATTGAGACTCAAATTGCTGAATTGCTGGCAACCAGCAGTCAGCAGAAGTAGCCCGCAGTACTGCATGCTAACCACTGTGCCACAACTGCTCAAATACTTACAATATACTTACAAGTATATTTATTTCATTTATTTAATTTTTATGCCACCACCTCTCAGTGATTCTAGGCAATTTATAAACTGATTTTCTTAAAAAAAAACATAGAAACATTTAAAAAAGAAAACAATATAAAAAAGAAAACATGGCAAAGACAAGTAACCCAGATGGGAACAAGAAAAATAAGAAAAGGGGGATTTTGATTATGCTTGCCAAAGGCCTGGCTGAAGACCTAGATCTTTAAGACTCTTTGAAACATCAGAACAAATGGGGACCATCAAATGTCAAGGATAACCTCCTTCCAGAGGGCAGGTGCTACTACAGGTATCAAATAATTAATTAATGTATCAAAATTTGGTCTCTATTTATAAAATGTAAAACCACAAATTACAGCTAATGGGACCACAGAAAATAATGGACATCTGTAACATTTTTGTAAATGTTCACTTGCCATTTAACCAAACTGCTGCAGCTACAGCATCCATGCAACCAATCGATTTATCAAAAAAATTAACAGGATAGTATTGTGGTAATATTAGCAATATCTGATTGTTTTTTCTTTTAAAAAGAACCACCACGAAAATATTTTTATTATGATTAAAACTGTTTAAAAGTTGGGCTCATAAGATGTCTCTGCAAAGTTTCTAATGAATGTGTGCAAGGTTTCAAATGGTTGTACTTAAGTCAGCACATATAGAAGATAAAGAAAAAAATAAGTAAACCCTCGATTTTATAGGTTACCTGATAGGATGGATGTTGGCTAAAGCTGAATGTCCATTACATTTGAATTTTTTTAATACCCCAAATGCGTGTACGTGAGAAAACTTACCTTACTTATGGCTGTTTGCTGCAGATGTGCTGGGTTTCAGGGATGATATAGGATGCCTGATTGATTTCAAGAAAGTATCCAATTTTAACTGAGTCTTGGAAGTTGTTGCCTCTGTATGATTATCTTCCTAAAAGTATGGAAGTGGGGGTAATAAGGCTGGACTTCAAGATCAGATATGGTATCAATAAAAGTTATTACATTGGAGAGGTGGGGTCTTTTTTTCTCCTTGCCTCCCTTTGCAGCTATCATTGATTAAATAAAGCAATTACCAAATATTTACAAAAAAACTTACAGAATCTTATAAAAAGTTGTATCCCAAACATTAGCACCTATGAAAGACATGAAGAATGTCGCTAGTATCATGAAGTATAATGCTTGTTTGCACATGCACAGAAGCAGCAACCATTGACTTGATCAAAGAAGGGTTTGAATTCAGATTTTGTTCCCTTCATATGAAATCTACTAAATAAAGACTTGTAAAATCGAGGGTTTACTGTACTTCTAAAAGTGCCAAAAATCAACTGAAAACTCTTAGTAACATTAAACTGTAAATGGTGTTTAGTTAGTCCTAGTAATAAGTCACTGAAATAAAGCCCATTTAAAGTTCATATCATTCTTGTATAGTAGTAGCTATCTATATTTTTGATTAGTATAAAACCTATTTATTAACTTCCTTACACTCATAATGTTAGTTTTAAATAATGGAAGATTTTGGAAAGCAATATTTTGCTATTGTTTTGTATGTCCACTTACAGCTGCCTTGCGTCAAAGGTTTTTATTTGCCAGTGGAGGGGGAGGTGAGGTAATAGAAACATTGCTTGTTTATTTGTTTATTCACAAACATTTCAATATGGCGCAATTCCCACAATTCTGACCAGCTTACAATAACAATTGTATTACTATTATATTACTACATTTAATTTTAAACTAATTAAAATATCATAAACATGTAAATCAACACAATATAGTGTATCAAAATAATCATGTATCACTACAGTGAACCTGGCATATCAGTAACAATCAACTTGATCAACAATCAAGTTCATTCTAATGAACTCTGAAACACACACACACACACACACACACAGACAGAGGGGGGAGGGGGGAGAGAGAGACAGAGATAAGTGAACTATACAGGAAACATGATGGAAGCAACCCTTCTCTCAGAAATCTTAATTATCTATAAAAGTTTTTTTAGCCAAATCTAATTCAATTAATATTCCTCTTAATTTTTCCCTGGTCTCTCTTTAAGCATAAGCTTTTAAAGTTCCGTATATACTGTATTTTTCAGAGTATGACGCACCTTCCCCCCCTAAAAGAGGGTGAAAATTTGGGTGTGTCTTATACACTGAATGTAGCCCCCACCCACCCACCGGCCCCCACCCTTTGGCCTCTGCCATCCAACAATTTGCCTCCTTGCAGAAAATGGGGGATGGGGCTTACGAAGGCTGCAATAGACTATATCAATCCCTGCAGTCTGAAACAGCTGATGATCGGGAGGGCCATGCTGAAATTGAAAGTGAAACTTGTTGTTTGCTCCACGAGTCAAATTGCTTGGAGGCAGAAGTAGATTATTTTTCTTGTGCTAATCAGATTGTTTGCTGCTGCAAGGAGGTAAGTCAATAACTATAAATACCTATAGAATGTTCAAATTATTAGACTTATTTTTTAAAGACTGCTTTATTATTGTTCTAGACAGTTTAACAAAATGAAGACGCTTTTAAAAATAAATGCTTGATCTGAAGACGCCCAGTACTATTGTATCTTCTTTTAAATAGCAGAGAATAACTATACTTCCAGAAAGCACATCAATTTTAACAGCATCTGTACAAGTATAGTCTAAAATGTAACAATACAGTGTATATTGTCTGTACTCTTTGCTGTTTGTTGCAAGGAGGCAAATTGCTGGGAGGCAGAAGCAGATTTCCCCCCCTTGTTTTCCTCCCCAAAAGCTAGGTGCGTCTTATACTTCATAGTATTATACTCCGAGAAATACATTACTTATATGGAACTCACACTGAACTTAGCAGGAATCTAGTTCAGGACAGATATATGCAAGCTTGCATTATTAGCATTTTTTTTTAAAAAATCACTACAATTTGTCCTTTTACTCAGCGTCTTATTAAAAGTATAAGCATATATAAATTATATTCAATGTTTTCCCCATTCATTCTTGGGAAACCTTGACAACTCATGTTCTATTTCCCTATATGTATACATTAAAATTTGATTTCTGAAAAACTAATATTTAATAATTCCTTAGCATGAGTAATCTATTACATTTGGTCAAACAATCCAAAATTATTCTTGCTTGAAACACTTGAATTATATTCTGGGTACTACTCCAGTTTTACCAGATCAGACTAAAAAGTGTCTATTGTCTGAGAGATTAGAATCAGAGATATAGCAGGAAAAGAGTTCTCATAAAACACCCAAACTAAAAATCTCTTGGTTATTCATTTTCCAGAAAAGCTTATTCAAGTGAAAATAGAGAAGCAGTCTACATATATTTAGAGATACATGACATGATCCAAGTATAAACAATGTCAACACAGACTGTGACTTCATTCTCATTAAGTTAGCTCTTACCTTAATTTTTCAGGCATCACTAATGATGCCATGATGCCAAAAAGATATAAATTAAATGTTATGCCCACAACAAAGCTAAACTTTGTTAAATTTTATCCTTAACACACAATTCTAATATTACTGCATTAACACTTGTTCACTGTGGCAAAGAGAGACCTTTTTTATGATGTCTCTGTGCACTTAAATCATCTTTTCTTCTTCAATTTTGGATTCCTCCACAGCCTTACTGAACTGTTTAACTGACAAAACCTAATCTTGTACTAAATTACACTATCATAAATAAGCTAATATTGTATGCAATCTGGATTTAAGTTTGATGAGTTAAACAATTACAATCATTTATTTTTAAGCAAGAAAGTATTCTACCTATATTTTCCTTTAAAAACATAGAATATTGTATGAGCACAATCCCTCCTTTCCACCCCACTTTACCACTGTGATATTATTATTCTCTTTTTCATCTGATTAAATAATAAAAGTAGAGTTAAAGACATTTTGTTAAAAAACTAATAAAGGAGTCTATAAAATCAAATAAACAATTAACTGTAAAAGATGACCGGGCTCAGCCCGGGGCAGGGGTCAAATAAATTATCAATCTATTGACAATTTAACATAAAACACAATGTTAAAATAAGTGCCAAATGAAAAGTTTGGAAAAACTTAAAAATAACAGTCTATGTGTCTAGAACTCTTTATTATTAAAGCTTCAACACAGTGCTGAGAGAAGTTAAAATATAATTTATAATATATTCCCAGAAAATATATTGAATAATAAATTATTAAATGCAAGATAGTAATTACAAAAACATATATATTTTGCAAAGGTACGCAGCATTCTGATTTAAAATGGAAACAGTAGTTTAAATTTGGGATAGGTTCATTCACTATACCTGTCAGCAACTTCCCTTAATAGTTGCACCTTTTCTTGGTCTTTCCTAAGTAGCCACAAAGGCTCAGGAAAATGCCTGTTTAAATTAAGGCATGGTTAAAGTGTCCCTGACTTTAAGGAACTACTAATAGATAAAAAGGTACACCAACATCCTGAAGATGAAACTCAAATACTTTGGCCACCTATTGAGAAGGAAGGAGTCACTGAAGAAGAGCCTAATGCTAGGAAAGATTGAGGGCAAAAGAAGAAGGGGACAATAGAGAAGGAGGTGGCTGGGTGGAGTCACTGAAGCAGTCGGCATGAACTTTTGACTCCAGAGGATGGTGGAGGACAGGAAGGCCTGGAGGAACATGTCCATGGGGTCGCAATGAGTCAGACACGACTTCGCAACTAACAAAACCACCAATATCAGATCTGAAACACAACTTTCTCTCTTTGGATTAGAATATTGCACCACAACTAATTAGTGTGTCAACTTACAACAAAACCCAAGTTAATTCAGAAGAATATACAATGAAATCTTACCCATTTTTGAAGTATAAGACATGGGCCCTCTGAAGTCCAGTTTCTAAAAAATATCCAAGTTCTTGTTCATGTGTTCCAGATCCAGGCTTAGGACTTCTGTTCTGCATATTGGCAATTATTACCTAGGAGATCATAGAAATAAATGAATAAATTCCCCTAAATGATTTCTTCCTTCACCAGTAGGAGGCAGAGACAGAACATTCTCTACACTCCCCCACTGGATAGGAGGGCTGCCATGTAAGCAAGCTTTCTTCAGCGACACAAGTGATCTTCATGCCCATCTTGTACATTAAGAAATACAGATGGGTACAGAGTTTACAATAATGTTGGTTTATTTATGGAGCATCAATATACTATATTTCTCAGTGGTTGGCAATATGTAGCCTGTGGAAGACCTCCAATAACTATTTTGTAGCACCTAAAATTGACTCTTGATTTTCAGGCATGATTTTACTTTTATCTTGATTATGGCTTAATTTTTGGTTTTGCTAAAATAAAGGACAAAAATGGCATATTAAAAACTTTCAGGGACAACTGTACCAATTTCACCCTTTCAATCATCTCAAACCATCAAAAACTGGGTGAGTGTTTTTGGCATCCATTCAGTTATACAATCATACCACTGCCAATTTTATCCCAATTTTTAAATGAAAATTCATCCTACAAACGCTAACAAACCTTGATCACCCCAACATGAACAGGGTTTTTTTTGGGTAAAGAGGCTCTGTCTCTTCAATTATCCGTGTTCAGTTTTACAAATAATTGCTGTGTTTTTGCAGAGAGATATGATATACAAATGCGGTAAATAAATAAACTTCAAACGCTTTAACTATTGTCCACTATTGCTTTTCACCTAGAATCATTTAAATATCAAATAGCCTTTAAAGGAGGATAGGTAAGAACTGCCCAAAATTTATTAATTTTTAGCTCTGTCATGAAAATTGTAAAGTTTTCCTGAAATGAAACTCAAACCTTAATAAACACATTAGAATGGAAAACTATGATTAGAAATGCTAAGAAAATCTGTCTGGTTTTGTTTATATCATTCAGGATGTTATATGTTTTATTATAATCTATTACTTTATTATAGTTTATGATTGCATTTCATTAGTTTGTAAAAAAAAAGTTGCCTTATTTGGATATAGACAAATATTATGAATGGAAATAACAATCCCCCCCATCATTAAATGTTCATATTTGGCAAGTTCCAAATAATTGGTAAGTTCGAATCTCATCAGGCTCAAGGCTGACTCATCCTTCCATCCTTCTGAAGTGGGAAAAATGATGACCAGATTGTTGGGGGCAATAGGCTGAACTCTGTAAACAGCTTAGAGGGCTGTAAAGCACTAAGAAGCGGTATATAAGTCTAAGTGCTATTACTATTTAAGTTGCAACTGCAATGGCAAAAGCTGAGGAAAAAATTGATTCAATGCTTCTTGTAGCAACATTCTGAATTTTCAGTAAAAAATTAGTAAAGTAAATTTCTATGAGTTCATTTTATAGCTTGAGAAAATAAAATAGGAATATAAAGAACAGCCAACTCTATGTCATTGTTTAAAAATTATACAACCAATAAGTGGAATGCCAGCTTTCATTACGAACAAAGTTTTAACACATTACCAAAGAAAACTTGAGAATATCATAGGGAAAACTCTTTTTATCATGTGAATTCAATTTAGAGATGTTTTTCTGCATTTTGTGCAGAAAAGTTATTTTCTTAAGACAAGGATAAAGAGTCATACAATTCTCAATAGAAAGTGGTGGACTATTTTCATCTAGAATGCCTGAAATCAGCCATTCATGGGGGCTATTCAGTTCGAAGAAATAACGGGTACCTGTTATGGCATGTAAAAAATTAGAATAGATTAAAAAAAGTAATGCTTCTGTTTTTAGCTGGGATTAATTAAAAAAAATCTATATAGAGGTGAAGAAAGGGTTATTTAAACCAAATAATAAATTGTTGAATCTTAGATTTTTTTTTAAAGCCATATATAGTAGATAGGGGTAATCCCAGAAAAGAGAAAAAGTAAAATAAAAAACAAAAATTGGTTATTTTGTTGAGATTACCTATCCCATCTTACCCTTTCTATTTCCTGGAGATACAGAAGGGCTATATCCCCAGCCTTCTCATAGCACATTATAATTTCCTGTTCACGGTCTGCATTGAGGTTGCTTGTTGAAGAGGATATTGGTAATTTTTCTAGACAAAGACCTAAAGGAAATACAATTTAATTTAAGAAAATAACTTGGAACTAAATCAATCTCTTTTCATTTATCAAATACTGAAAACAGTACAACAGCTAAATGTATATCTGAAAATTCTGTTGTATGTAACTGAGAAGCCATAGTTGTCAATGTGGTGAGAAAATATGTAGTGAGATTCATGAATACACAGATCACACCTAAAATATAATGAAATAGGTCTATGATAAATTGTATCACACAATATTTATTGCCTTCAAAGCAGAGATTAGAAGAAAGAAAACAAAACAATGAAAGAAGTCCACAACTGGCAACACAATTATATGTAATTTTAATCATCTTTTGCTAACAGGTTTGCAAAACATTCCTACAACCTCTTAAAATATTTGGGATACTTTTTAAGAAGAATAAGAAAGTATTCATATCACCTTCTTCAGTTATTTCAAAGGATTTTTCCCTCTTTTTATTTATTTCAAATAGGTTTAACTTAATAAACTATTTTGGATCCCATACCAAAAAGGTTAGCTTTCATGGATCATTGCCTCGTTATGACAAAATGGCTTTGGTAGCTCAAAAAAACTATAAGCTAAGATGTGCAGGGCCACCTAAGGCAGAGAAGGAAATGACAACCCATTCTAGTACCCTGCCAAGGAAACCCCATGGACGGTACCAAAAAGATAAAAGTTAGTAATGTAGGACTGTGAGAGTTGGACCATAAGGAAGGTTGAGCATGGAAGAATTTATCCTTTCAAATTGTGCTGTGAAGAAGACTCTTGAGAGTCCCTTGGATTGCAAGGAGACCAAATCAATCAATCCTAAAGGAAATCACCCAATTGTACTTTGGAAAAACAGATACTGAAGCTGAAGCTCCAATGCTTTGACCACCAAATGAGAAGAGAGGATTCAGTGGAAAAGGCCCTGATGTTTGAAAAGATTACAGGCTATAGAATGGGATGCCATAGGATGAGATGGTTAGATAGTGTCATTGACACAATGGCCATGAGTTTGGGCAGACTCCAGTAGACAGTGGAAAATGGGGGGCTGGCATGGTGTGGCCCAATGGGGTTGCAAAGAATTGGGCACGACTTAGTGACTGAACAACAGTAATTAAAATGGATAAAAGATTAATCAAATGCTAAAGCTAATTAGGGGCTATTTTACGTTATCAATTCTCATAAATAGATTAAGAATCAAACACCCACATATATAACAAATTATTTAAACAGATGTGGGGGTATATTTGTTCTCAGGAATTTAAGAGGGCCAGCTGGATTCCAACAACACATTAAGATGCTACCAAGAATGGTATAAGATATTTTAGGAATATTTCTTTTCTTTTTTTCTTCCTTTTCTCCCCTCCCCCCCTTGCATGTTACACCTTTTTTCTGTGCTCTTTTACCTTCCCTTAATTTCCTGTTTTTATTTTTTCTTTGTATTTTATAAAATTAAACAAATAAACATTTTTTAGACTTAAGATGTTTTAGGAAGTACACGGGTATATAAATAAATGTTTGATAGAAAATAAGTTTTTTTTAAAAAAATATCACAGCAGCAACACTTTTAAATGAAATGAGAGAAATAACTGAAAATAATTATTGTCAGTGTACTTAAATTATAAAATGATATGCAACAAGACGCTGGTGGCATCTTAAATTTGGAAGAGCAATGGAGAAAAACAGCTCAAGCAGAGTGACTTGGAGGTTATTCCAGTTATTAGTACCAGTAAGAAAATACACTAAAATACAGTCTAATTAGCAGTAGCTAATAAAGTTGCTAAACTGCTAACAAACTGCTTTAAAAAAAATCAGAGTACCACTGTAAAAGAAAACCACAGAACAATATTGCTCCTGACATGTGGAATGGCGCAACAGACATCAACGTTTTTTCATTGGTCTCTAGATGAAGCATAGGTAGCTTCTAAACCAACACAAACACAGCTACAGCAAAAACCTCAGAATGAACAAAAAGATGTTGAGAAAAGCACTTCCTGGTGTCATGGATCCCCCACCACATTCATTGGTTCTTATTCACTAGTTCTACATTCACCACATCAATTAGTCTAAATCCTAATTATATTAGAAAAATGGGTCCAAATTACTTTATAAAATCTTGAAAGATTTAGAATTTTTTTCTAAATTTGGCTGGAAGAATGGATCCATCCATTCTTTATCTAAACTGAATAATTATTCCAAGAAAAAAATGACTTACGAATTTAAAATCAGAGATATATTTTTTGAAAAGAGAAATAATTTTATTTCCCACCTGTCTACTTAAACTGTCACCACCACAATATGCATAATCATAATGCATGTTTTTCTGCAGCAAACATATTTTCTGGAAGTTTACAACTTCTATATATTATAGAAAAAACAATGTAACATCTGCCATACAGTTATTCTTCTAGAATCAACTATGCCATTTGTCAGTAAAACTTCCAAGTGTATTCTATATTCTAGAATAGAATAGAATTCTTTATTGGCCAAGTGTGATTGGACACACAAGGAATTTGTCTTTGATGCATATGCTCTCAGTGTACATAAAAAGACAAGATACATCAGTCAAGAATCATAAGGTACAACACTTAAATGATAGTCACAGAGTACAATCAGAAAAAAATCAATATCAATATAAATTGTAAGGATACAAGCAACAAAGTTATAGTCATGCAGTCATAAGTGGGAGGAGATGGGTGATAGGAACGATGATAAGATTAATAGTAATAGTAATGCAGCCTTAGTGAATAGTTTGACAGTGGTGAAGGAATTATTTGTTTAGCAGAGTGATGGTGTTCAGGAAAAAAACTGTTCTTGTGTCTAGTTGTCTTGGTGTGCAGTGCTCTTGAGGGAAGGAGTTGAAACAATTTATGTCCCGGATGCGAGGGGTCTGTAAATATTTTCATAGCCCTCTTCTAATGAATATAAAGGGCTGCATTTTCAGAATATTGCACATAAAGTACAAAGATCCTTAACCAACGCTGCCACCTATAGAAACTACACAAGCATTGCACATTTCATAAACAAGGCAAAACTAACTAAACCTAGTATTTGACCTTGTTTAGCTTGTAAATATTGTTCATATTAATAAAATACATCCATAAGAAAGCAGAAACTAATATTTGGAAAAAGCAGTATTGTAATATTCCCAAACATCATTATCTAATTTCACTTTTTGAAAATCCCTAAAGAAATGTATTAAGTATAGAAGAGTCACTTCTCTTTGAATATTTTTCCTGGGATGTGACTATGAAAATTTGATCAATTCTACTTCTGTGAGCAATGCATGCATCTTTATTTATAAATTTAATAAATAAATTTCAAGAGCTAACTGAAATATAAACAGCATGTAACTAAAAACTAATCACTACTCTGCAATCTCCTCTGGGTCAGGCTCATTCATGGAAGTTTTTTTAAATAACTCCATGTTCATCAGTATCTTCTTCCAAGACTTAGCTTCTTCCAAGATTTCCACAGCATTCAAATACTTATCTATAGGAAAGCTTCAGGACATCATTAAAATATTTTAAAATAAAAACTTATTCAAAAAAGTAGTTCCACTTGAAGATTCTAAACACTCTTAAAACGTAACTTTGGACCACAATTTCCACATCAATATGTGTTAGGTAATATGGCATCTTCTAGCTGGGCTGCAGCACAAGAGGAATTATTTAAAAAAATCCATTCACACATGTGAGACATCAGAATTCTGCAAGACTTTGGAGACAATTACAAACTTCCTGTCATTACAACAGTTCCCATTTTGAGTGAAAAGGTCAAACACATGAAGTGGAGAAGGCAAACTGTATAGTTTATGTAACAGGAATTATTTCATCATAATCTGTAACTCTAACATGATACTTTTCACAGAAACAAGCCCTCTGCATAGAAACAATTGTAGATGTATTTTGAATAAATATGGGCCATATAAGTCAAATTAAAAAAAACACATTTGTTTTTGACTGTGCATTTTTAAACCAAATTTGCTAGCCGTATCTTTACTAATAATGCATGCCTTTCTTTTCTGCATGCCTTTTGCTCTATGAAACAGAATTAACAACACACTTGCTATCAAGTTTCAGTAGAGTGAGAAATTAAAAAAAGTAAATGGGGAGAGCAACTTACAATTACACTGAAAGCCACCTTACCTTTGGTTGAATATGCTTCAGCAATCATTCTTAAGCGATAAGGAGGTACAGCAGCAAGCTGCAAGTCATCAATTCCCACTTTAGCGTAAGTATTAAGAGCTTCTTTGTAATCACCTTCCATATAATTTAATTTGGCCATAACTAAATGGGCTTCTTGTAAGAACTCTGGCTAGAAAAAAAGAAGAGGGCAAGCAGCAGGTATCAGACACAAGGCAGTATCATACATGGGACTTTTAAAGTAGGTATTTTAGGCCAAAGAACTTATTCATTAAAAAGAAAAATTCCTAGAACTCCTAATCTACAGGCAAAATTCTAGTGTTAGAAAATTGATCGTACTTAAAAGTCCATCTAGTTCTCATGGCAACCTAGGGTTCTATAAAACAGTTTCTAAAACCCTGATGTACTAATCTAACATTCTTTACTCCTTAAATTGATTTATGTTCTATTTATATCTCTTAACACTAAAGATGGTCTAAACTGCACTCTCATTATCAGTTTTATTTCTATAAAAAGCCTATGACCGGGATGGCGAACCTATGCCACGTGTGCCACAGGTGGCACGCGGAGCCATTTGTCAGGGCACGTGAAGCCAGCGGACTTCAGCCTTTTATAAAGCCATTTTTCGCCCTCCCCAGGCTCCAGAGGCTTTAAAGGAGCTGGGGGAGGGCAGAAACAGCCTCTTCCCCCCAGAGGCCCTCCGGAGGTTTCAGAGTTCCCTGAAGCCTCCAGAGAGCAAAAAAACTGGCCCTATGGGCAAACCAGAAGTTTGGGAATGGACTTCCGGTTTGCTTATAGGGTCGGTTTAAGTCATCCGGAGCCTTCAGGGAAGCCTCCTGAAGGTCCTTGAAGGCTCCAGAGCACTAAAAACGGCCCTATGGGCAAATTGGAAGAAGATCCCGAAGGCTCCATAGGACTAAAAATGACCCTACGAGCAAATCGGAAGAAGGTTCCAAAGGCTCCGGAGAACTAAAAACAGCCCTACAAGCAAACCAGAAGTCACTTCCAGTTTGCTCGTAGGGTCATTTTTAGTCCTCCAGAGCCTTCCGGGAAGCCTCATGAAGGTCCCTGAAGGCTCCGGAGGGCCTCCGTGTGGGAGGAGGCTGTTTTCGCCCTCCCCAGGCTCCTATAAAGCTTCTGGAGCCTGGGGAGGGTGACAAAAGCATGCAAAAAATGGGGGGAGTGCCTGTCATGCACGCATGCACATTGGGGGGGTCGCGCATCGCATTATGGATGTGGCACGCCTGCACCCCCACTTATGGCACGCAAGCCAAAAAAGATTCATCATCGCTGGCCTATGAAAAAGAAAAGTGACCAGTATAATTTAAGATCGCAATTTCTAAAACATTTTTAAAGTAGCACTTAAATATTAAGCATACAACTAACATATAACTTTATAGTTTTAAAAATAGATGCCTTATAACTAAAAAGAAGAGAAGTAACATATTTGAAACATAAAAATTGCATTTTGCTTTTGTATTTTGAAATAAGAATATATGTAAAAAACTGGATAAATCTGAATCTTTCAACAAAGTCGCAATCAAATATCCGTTAATGTAGGGAATTAAATTAGCATTATTTTTCTTGGACTTAAAATGTACATTAGCAAGACTAGTATTGCAGTTTAATAAAGACAAACACCAAGTAATGGGGGCATGAAGGTAATGATTTTTTTACTTATTAAACCATTCATATACTGCTCAGCCACCTAACCATGGATAGTGTATAAAGAAAATAAATACCATACCACACCATAATCTTATCATGTAATGCAGTGCTTAGACAGTAGTATTTATTATAGGCAAAAGCTGTCCACAACCTGGAATTCAACCCTGATGGGGCTCAAAGTTGACTCAGCCTTCCATCCTTTCGAAATCGGCAAAATTAGGGCCCAGATTGTTGCGGGAAATATGCTGACATTGTAAACCACCCAGAGAGTGCTGTAAAGAACTATGGGGCAGTATATAAGTCTAAATGCTATCAAAAAGATTTTTTTAAGTGAAATTAATTAAGTCCCATCTTAAACTGAAACTAAGCTTCAGATTAATTTATTTCAGTTCCAAATAATATCTAAAGAAACTCAAACATCATTATGAATTCATTGCTGGTACTTAATTTACGTATCTTTGGAAATGACAGCCTTTAAAAAATGAAACTATTTCATTCTCATAGCTTTATCCTTGATTTTATTTCTTGAGCTTTTGTCCCTCACCTGTCATAGCAATATGTTTTAGGCTGCTCTCTCCAATGACAATTTATCCTGCTAAGTAGAATCAAATTATATGGGCTCCCAGAAGATGGAGATATATACTTAACGTGTTATAAAACTGGAAGAATAAAAACTGGGAACTCTTGATATACAAAATAGATCTGTATTGCAATTATATAAATGATTTATCTAAATATTTTAAAAGCAACATTATTTATTCTTATATTGCTCAAACATCAAACTCTCAACAATTACTATGGAAGCACAAATACCTTTAAATTTCCACGATCAAGTGCTGCGGTGAGATGCTTCCTGACTTCAACTAATTTTGGTCGGGGACCACAGGGACTTGCCCCCTGTTTTAGAGGGTTCGCTTTCAAAAAAAGTTCTAGCTTGGATTCTCCGAGGAGTAGTTCTGCCATATCATCTATAGGGAGAGACAAAATTATTATATAATTAAATAGCTGTTATGTTCTATTAATACTAAGCATTGCTATGAGATAACGCAAAACCATTAATCATAAAAATGTACTAAGATGAATAACTTTTAAGCAGCTTCACAGCACATCTTCTGGAGTGGACACTCATCTTTAACATGAAATAAATGTCACTTTATAATAGAGCATAAAAGTCTGTGTGTGTGTGTGTGTGTGTGTGTGTGTGTGTGTGTGTGTGTTACACTTATGGTCTAAGAACACTTATGTTCGGATGTTCACATGTGGTACTAACTGTATAACATGGTTTTACAGGCAGTCTTCACTTAATAATGTTAAGTGGGACTGGAAACTCCTTTACTAACCGATGAGGTTAAGTGAAACATCACATGACTGCACTGCTTAGCAACAGCAGTTCCAACAATGCAATTGCTGACTCCCATGTGATCATTAGGTGAGGACACCATCCCCTCTTGGATCCAAGCCATTCTTGGACAAAGACAAGGCACTGCCTCTACTTTAATTCCCTCCACTCACCTATTTCCCTTCCATGGTCAAGGTTCCAAGTAATACATCCCATTCAATTATACTCCAAAGCAAGCAAATTCATCAAAGAACATTTTATTGGGACATATGGTCCAATCAGCATACAGTCCAGTTGCTAAGTGACCTCAGTCTCCACCTTTTGAACACCTATACCACATCCTTGATTCTCAGGAGAAAGGATTTTATTTAGGCTATAACACCCCAGCTATCTCTACAGCCCATTCTCTGGCCCCTTCGCTCCTGGTTGTGTCAGCCCTGAAGCTGTGAGAAGAGGAACCTCCCAAAAGAAAACTACCAAAACAAAATGGCCACAGTTCAGCCAACTTTAGGGTTCAAACCCATCTCTGCCCTTTTGACTGCCCCCCCCCCTGAAGCCAGCTGTCCCTACCACAAAGTCTTATGCCATGCTAGCTGCTCTACAGATCACTACTACAATCTCCGGGCAGGGCCTTCTTCAGCACTGTTGCGGCCAGAGCCTTCTCTCACACCAGCCAGGGTCTCTAAGCCATGTGCTGGTTAGGGCCTTCTTTCAAGGAAGAATAACCCAACTGGTACATGGAAAAAAGGCCCTGGACCACCAGCACAAAAGAAGGATCCTTGTAGCAGGACCTTCTTTCTCAAAGAAGGCCCCGGCTGGCACACAGAGGACCTGTCCAGCGTGCAACCTGAGAGCCTGGCCGGTGTGAGAGAAGGCCCTTGCTGCACCAGTATGAAAGAAGGCAGAGTGAAAGAAGACTCCATCCGGTATTGTAGGGGTATATGGTGTGTCAGCCAGGACCAGGTGGCAGCAACAACTGGCAGCAGCAGGTAGGTAGGCAGCCAGCCAAAAGGTGGTCATAAACGTAGCTGGATCCTACATTGTTCACATAACCATGGGGCTGCTGTGATAGCTTAACAGTTGAGGACTGGGAGTCCCTTCATTCAGCACTGCTGTAATTTTGAACTGTCAGTGAACAATGATGTTAAGCAAGTACTACTTGTACTTAGCGAGTACTACCTATATTTAGCCATTCTAGTTTATGGCCTAGCATTGTGACTTAGTCAATAAACATAGATATAGCATTCCTAGCACTAGGATGCCAGCACTGCTTTTTGTCTTTGTATTTCTATTTGCCCCATTACCAGAATACTTTTTCATCATAATATATCAAAATTAGGTATTAGCAGTTTCCATAATATACACAGATTAAGATATTATCTTTTAAATATATGCATAAATACCACACACATATTTTGATTCCTAAATCTGATAGTAGTAACAAAATAACCGAATTGGAAGGGACATTGGAGGTCTTCTAGTCCAACCCCGATCTTTCTAATTTTTATTGTGCCGATTACTGTAGTTTGCAATCTTATAGTAAAATCTTTTAATATCTCTGTTCTTCATATATATTGAGTATAAATGTGTATGGATGAATGAAATAATTAATAGTATTAGCAGCCTTAGTAAAGTAAGCATAACTTAATAAGCAGTAAATAGGGGGGAGATGTTGCTTTCATGATAAAAATGCTTCCTACATTATTTAATGTGAAAATGCTTGGTACATCTATTACACAGCACACAAACAAATGAAGCTATCTATAATACTGTTTTGATGCCTTGAGCCACAATTGTCTACTTATTTGCCTAATGAAAAGTGCAACAGAAGATTTATGCTTTTGCTTGCTTGCCAAGAATCTGAGACAGCCATATTCAAGAACCTCTTGTCTGATGTATGGGTAAACAAGACCTTAAATCCACCTCTTGTTACCAATTTGCATCATAACCTTGAGACGGTCTTCTGTACAATTGGTCAAGTAACATGTATGGTTGCTCATATGTTACTCAAATGAAAGTGCAAGTAGTATTCAATGAATTTCTCGGCCCTATCTTTCTCATTCTTTGACACATAGAGAATATTAATATTTTGAATAATCATTTTGTTGAAGCTGGAATTAAGATAATTTCACTCAGCAACTGGGACATTTGGATTGAGGAGTGATTTGGAGAGCTAGCATTGAAGGTGAGGACAGATCTAACAATAAATCATTCTGATATGTAGGGACTCTTGAAACACAAACTAAGTGCTGCAATGCAACTGACTGTAACATTAATCCAACAGCTGCTTCTCTTTTGCAAAACAACTTCAGAAAAGAACTATACAGTTAATGGAGGCAGGAGCAAATGACACTTGATCCTTTTCCAGTATGCCTATTTTTCTCTCTTAAATAGACCCTAAAATTTGTAGACCATTGCTTTTATTTATTATAAGTACAATACAATAGCAGAGTTGGAAGGGACCTTGGAGGTTTTCTAGTCCAACCCCCTGCCTAGGCAGGAAACCCTA